CCTCTAAGGCTTTCAATTTTTCGTAGTGTCTCTTTCTCAGTCTTTTTGTTTGGCTTTATACTACAGACTGTTGAGGAAAAGATTGCTAGGCATTCAGAATCTGGTACCGTCACTGAAAGGTGTTTATATTCCTCTGTCTCTTAACATCTTCATATCCCATCATCTTCTTTGTATGTATAAACTTGTTGGTAGCTTAACCCTATCATGTTTGTCTCGTTAATAGGGAGATTGTGGTGCAGTTCAATGCTGATGTTGCAGATGGGATGCAGTGGAAGTTCACTCCAACGCAAAGAGAGGTTTATACTTTACATGTCAAGAAGTGTTTTGTGAATTGTCATTGTGTTTTATAAACTGAAATGTTTTGTTTTGCTACTTTTCGTATAGGTGAGAGTAAAGCCAGGAGAAAGTGCACTCGCCTTTTACACTGCGGAAAACAAAAGTTCATCTCCCATAACCGGAGTCTCGACATACAATGTCACTCCCATGAAGGTATATATACATTAGCCTTGGTAATTGACTATCAACTTCTCATAGAACAACATCCTTTGATCGGTTCTTGAATTCTTATTCGATTTTACAGGCAGGAGTTTACTTTAACAAGATACAGTGTTTTTGCTTTGAGGAACAGCGACTTCTTCCCGGCGAACAAATCGACATGCCGGTGACTTACCCTCTTTGGTTCTTTGCTCTGTTGATTTTCCTTAGGCAAAATCAAGAACCCATTAAAACCTTTTTTGACTTGGTTTTGCAGGTCTTCTTCTACATTGATCCAGAGTTTGAAACCGATCCAAGAATGGACGGAATCAACAACTTGATATTGTCTTACACTTTCTTCAAAGTGTCCGAGGAAACTACTAAAGATACGGACAACAATAACAGCTCCTCTGTCGCAGCTCAAGAAACCACTTAAAAAAGAAGACTCTTTCTTAGTTTAAATAATCAGTTTCCATTTTAGGGAATATTGTTTGTTATTATTTGTTCATAATCCGCCGAACACAAACACAAACAACAAGCAAGAGTGGACAAAATCGCGGTAATAATGTTGGTAAATTGAATTTGCCATAATAAAAACTCTATTTTTTGTTGTGAGATTGTTGAATTTATAAAGGTGTAAGACTCAGCATTTGGAAACTTCGGTTTGGTCCGGTTTCTTACTTACTATGTAAACACTGAAGTCAAGTGTATTGAATTAATTTTTAGTTCGGTTTTGTTTATGTTTGCCAAATTTATGTCCGGTTGAATTTCGGTCCGGTAATATAATATGTCCGGCTTGATTCTCTCTCTTTCGTCTCGACTTTAACCTAAAGTGTTCAGAGAAGCAGAACAATTCCGTTTTTTGAATACAGAGCTCCGGTTTCACTTCAATCCGAGTCTCTCTTGTCCGATTTTTACCAAAGTTCAGATTTTTTTTCTTTTTCTAAACGATATTCAACAAAAGTCCTCTTCTTGAAATGATGATGATCCTCAGGCCATTGTCTTCTCGCGTTTTGAATGTTCGTGTCTCTTCAATATCGTTTCTTCACAACTTGGCAATATCTTCTCCGGTAAGAGAAGACGACGACGCGGAAACCATTTTCCGGATGATCAATGGACCGAATCTACGAGGAGAATTAAAGGACGCGTTGATCTCCAGTGGAATCCACTTGTCGAAGGATTTGATCGATAAGGTTTTGAAAAGGGTAAGATTTAGCCATGGAAACCCTTTACAAACCCTAGAATTTTACAGGTACGCTTCTTCTAAAAGAGGGTTTTACCATTCAGCTTTTTCTCTGGATACAATGCTCTATATTCTCGGTAGAAGTCGAAAGTTCGATCAAATTTGGGAGATTTTGATCGAAACTAAGCGAAAAGATCGGTCTTTGATATCGCCAAGGACGATGCAAGTTGTTTTAGGTAGAGTAGCTAAGTTGTGTTCCGTTAGACAAACAGTTGAATCTTTCTGGAAGTTTAAGAGATTGGTTCCTGATTTCTTCGACACTGCTTGTTTCAATGCTCTATTGAGAACTCTTTGTCAAGAGAAGAGTATGACTGATGCTAGGAATGTGTATCATACATTGAAGCATCAGTTTGATCCTGATTTGCAGACGTTTAACATACTTTTATCGGGTTGGAAATCATCCGAAGAAGCCGAAGCTTTCTTCGAGGAAATGAAAGAAAAGGGGCTAAAACCCGATGTGGTTACGTATAACTCTTTGATTGATGTGTATTGCAAGGATAGAGAGATGGAGAAAGCTTACAAGTTGGTAGATAAGATGCGTGAGGAGGATGAAACTCCAGATGTTATAACTTACACAACTATTATAGGCGGTTTGGGGTTAATCGGTCAGCCTGATAAAGCTAGAGAGGTTTTAAAGGAAATGAAGGAGTATGGATGTTATCCTGATGTTCCGGCTTATAATGCTGCAATCAGGAATTATTGCATAGCGAGGAGGCTCGGGGATGCGGATATGTTGGTGGATGAGATGGTGAAGAAGGGTTTGTCTCCGAATGCTACTACTTATAATCTGTTTTTCCGTGTTTTGTCTTTGGCGAATGATCTGGGACGGTCTTGGGAGCTGTATGAGAGAATGTTGGGAAATGGGTGTTTGCCGAATACTCAGTCTTGTATGTTCTTGATTAAGATGTTTAAGAGACACGAGAAAGTGGAAATGGCGATGCGGTTGTGGGAAGATATGGTGGTAAAAGGTTTCGGCTCGTATAGTTTGGTTTCGGATGTGCTTCTGGATTTGCTTTGTGATTTAGCTAAAGTCGACGAAGCTGAGAAATGTTTGCTTGAGATGGTTGAGAAAGGACATAGACCGAGTAATGTCTCTTTAAAAAGGATCACATTGTTGATGGAGCTAGCAAATAAGCACGAAGAGCTTGATAACTTGAAACAGAAGATGTCTATTTTCGGTACAGAGATTCCACGTTAAAAATCAGGACTTATTCTTACATTCCTCCAATGTTCTTCTGTTTCAAGAGCCAGTCAAGTCCTTCATGTAAACCGTCACCACATAATGCACATGAGCTCTGGACATGCCTACCAAGCGAAAATCAAAACGTAAATCATGAGATGAATCAATCTTAGAGACATGTAAGGGTTGATCATCTTCTTACCAGTTTCTTTGACGAAGAGAAACGAGATCAAGCTTGTTACTGATCTCAGAAGCAGACATAGCACCAGGAACCTCGTGCTTGTTTCCATATACAAGAACAGCCACATTGTCCGGTACATTCCCTTGTATCTATGAAATTATATTTCATCAAAACATTAAGAGCATGTGAGACTTGCTTCATATTTAAAGGACAGGTTTTGTTTGTTACCTCATCAATCACCATTTTAAGAAAATCCTTCGTCTCTTCTACTCGATCTCTGTCCGTGCTATCAACTACAAGCACAAGTCCTAATACTTCTAGGAAGTAATGTTTCCATAATGGAATCAACTGGAATGTTTTTTTTCCCAAATATATCAGGTATGATCTTAATGTTTCTAAATGTTAACAAGTTTCTCCTACCTTGTAACGCTGTTGACCGCTAATTTCCCAAAAGCTCAAGGTTAAATCCTTGTATTTCACGCTTTCCATCTCGAATCCTTAAGACAATGATCCGTTAATTTTGAAAGAAGAATGGATTGAGAATCAGAAAGAAGTCATAAATGATTGGGTTTTAGTTGCTTGTTTGCTTACCAATGGTAGGCATGTTTGTGGTTAAGGTTTCACCAGTTTTGAGTTTGTGCATTATTGATGATTTTCCGGTACCGTCGAGACCGAACAACACGATTCTCGGTTCGTTTTCTTGAAAAAAACCGGCGAATGGCTTCCCCAAAGTCGTCCCCATTTTTTCTTGAATCAGTAAACGACCAAACTTGTTTTTTTTTGGCAACGAAGTTGACTTTATCTCAAGGAAGAGAAAGCAACTTTGGATTATAGCAAGAAGAAATCCAATATTTGACGGATCGGAGAATCGGACTTTGGAGCAAAACCTTTGAGATTA